GAATCACATGATCTTGTGCTCGTTAGAATCGTCTCAGTGAGCTGAATCCAATGGTGGTTATTTCATCCAAATTGGTTTGGTACATCAAAAGTTATGGTCAAAAAGGTGTAAAACTCTTAATGTTAACAGTAGTAATTTGGTCAAAAAAGAGGAGTTTATGATATCTAAGTTGTTTTTTGAAGATAGGGTATTTAGGATGAGAGGAAAGAAGAGATTCCAGAAAGATAGTTCCATCATGCAAGGTATAAGAAATGTTATAAGTTGGATTAATTGAGAATGTTCAACCAATATGTTTAATAAACTGTACAATTTTAAAGTTTGTAATTAAGCAGTTAGGACTATTAATAATTGGGTTGGGATGAGAGAAAATACTGATTGGAGACCAGAAATTGTTTTGTAATTATTGAATTTGAATACAACTAGATGTGCCTAATAGGTCAGGATTATTAAGTCGTTTGAGGAGATTAGGAATATGGTGTTGTAATTGAATGTTCTAAATATGTTTGATATTATAAATTTGTAGATGTAAGAGGGTACTGGCACTATTAATAATGAGAACTTGGTCGCTAATTGCATTGAAAATTCACATACTTTAAATGAGAAACAATTGGCAATATTCAAGCGAATTGAGTCTCATTATAGCGACTTGATTGTAAATCCTAGCCAAGTTGAACCACTCAGACTTATCATAATGGGAACTGCGGGAACAGGAAAATCACATCTAATTAAAATTATTCGAGATTGTCTCCAGGAAATGGCAAGGATTTATAATGTCAATACCCAATCACCTGTGCTTGTATTTGCGCCAACTGGAGTCGCAGCGTTCAACATTCACGGGACAACGATCCATTCAGCACTCTCAATTCCAATAGGAAGTGCTAATTTAGATATAGACAGTGAATGATTGAAACAACTACAGAAAAGACTAAATGGTGTGAACTATTTCGGCATTGATAAAAAAAGTATGGTTGGGCATCGAATGCTTGCTTTAGTTGATATGCGACTACACCAAGCATTCCCTGAACATAAAAATCAGCCCTTTGGTAATCAGTCAGTTATTCTTGTTGGTGATTTTGGTCAACTTCCTCCAGTGCTTGATGAGCCTATGTACTCGCAAACCTTCCGACATGATCCATTATCAAACAACGGTATTACTATGTATAAACAATTCCAAGAGGCCTATAAACTTGCTGAATTAGATTTTGTTTGTTGATTATCTCTATTCGATTACTTTATTTGCTCAATCTATTTTGTATTTTTGTTGTTTGACTATCTATTTCCTAATTTAGTTTTGTACATGACTTGATGTTTGTTGTTTTCTTTTGCTAATTGTTATAAATTTCTAAATTGGGAATGTGACTGCTATGTTTGTTTGGTGTTTACAATTTTTGGTTGATCACATATGCTTAGCAATTTTTTCAGAGTAGCATAATGCCCTACATTTGTCAAAAAAATTTTTTAAAATTGACTCTGAGTTTCCAAATAATTGGTTTCGACAAAATTAAATTTTATATTAGAATAAACCAAAGGAAACACACTAGATAAGTAGAATCTATGGCCTTTGGATGCTTTAAGAAGAACAGGTTCAGTTAATTAGATTATAAGCGTCAGAGTTGGTAAACAAATTTGTTTGGTCTTTTTTACTCGAATTGCCACCTTTGTGCTAATACCAAAACTGAAGTTAGCTATTTGTGACTTCTGCCTTTCCAATAGTATTAAAAACTAGCAGTATTCGTTTGGTATTTTTAAAGAAAGCTATATTATTATAAGGAACTTATAGTACTATTTCTAAATTTTTGTTAATTTTGTTTGTTTTGATGATCTACGAGAAAGAGTTGAAAAATTGGTTTTGATGTGATTAAGCTATTGATTTATATTAATAATTATTATTTTATCAAAACATATAATTTAATTAAACAAATTCATAAAAATTTAAATTTGTTAATATTAATTTTTTTTTTTAAGATAAGTCATTATTGTATTTGAAACTACATTGTTTTTAAAATTCTATCAGAGAACTAGAAGCATGTTGTAATTATAAAAATATCTTTTCTATTTTATTTAATCCAAAAAACTAGATTTAGTTTTATGCAAAAACCTATAATTAATAGATTATAATAATGATTATAATAAATTTAGAAAACTTTTTTTTGTAGTATTTATAAAAATGACAGATACTTTTAATTAATAAACATCTAATTCATATTTTAAACTTAAAAAGAATTCTGTTTAAGTTAATATTAAACTCATGATAAAAAGAATTAATGAATTAAACAATAAACTTGAATCTTTTAAAATTCAATTTTAAAACTTATTGTTTTATCTTTAATATTTTATATTTTATTATTTATTTTATTACTTTTAACTAGATGATAAGTTTATTAAAATTATTATTAAATTTTTTTGAATTTATTTACATTAAAATATATAATTTTATTAATTTTCTAGATTATAGATTAAATATCTCTAATAATTAAAGTTATTAATATTGCATCCTATTTCATTTTTCAGTTTAAGGATATTTTTTATTAGAGAATTTCTATTTGTATTCAGTGAGTACATACCTGGCTATAAGAAAAAAACAAAAATTATTAATATTGTGATACTGGAAATTGTGATACTGAATATCATGAAAAATGCATGAAATGCAATAAGTGCAATAAGTGCAATAAATGTAATAAGTGTAATAAGTTACATTTAAGATCAGAAATGGTATTTCAGATCCGAAGGGGTATATAAGAAATAAAGAGAGGAAATAACGGATATTAAACCAAACATATAAATAGTTTAATTAGTTTTAATAGATAAGTAACATTTGTGAGCATGAATTCAGTATTATAAATAAAGGCCGAAATGGCCCTTAGGAGCAGTATGCTTCGTTTGCTTTATTAAATAATAAATCCCAATACACGACATTGTACATAATAAACACTAACACTATTACAGTTACCAATCCTGTAAACCCCTATAATGTCGCTGTTCAAGCCTTGACCACGTGACTTACCCTACTTGCATTCGTTGACCCAAAGTAACCGAAAGCCTTAATCGCCCACCAGCCAAATCTAACACCCTCTTTCGAAAAGGTTACTTATCGTACGTTACGCGAGATATTGGATTGTGGAGCGATACCTATGAGTATTTTTAGAAATTTTCTTTTTATTATATCTTTTTTTTAATCTATCAAATATAAATGGGTTACAATAATATAAAGGAATATTTTGTAATAATAATAGTATATTATATTAAAAATTATAAGCCAAATATTTATATATAAGTTTGAATTTTCTAAAAGTTAGTAAATTTTTTTTTACATAAATTTTAAATTTGTGTATTGCTAGTTTATAATAAACATTTTTGTAATATAGAATTAAATCCAAGCCTTTAAAAAAATTTTATTAAAAATACTCTACTGTATATGCATGTAAGGGATTATTATTTAATATAAAATAACATATACAATATTATTGTAAAGAATTCAAGTATATAGTATTTACAGTATCTTTATTATATCTACAACATTAAATTTTTTTTTTTTTAATTTCCTCCGCATCCTGAAGGTCTTTAGACACCTTAGAATCCCTTATATCTCTTAAGGCTCGAGTTATCATTTTGCGGAGATCAACGGATGGCTATAGGCCCTATATTATTATTCGGTCATTGGGGTTTTTGCGGCGTATGTCACCTGTGGTGTTCCCAGCCTTTCTGCCACGTGGTATTAGGTGTATCACATTAGAGATATCCCGGGTTCCTGGTACGACATGTAGTTAACTCTGATATATAAATATAAACTAATTTATAAATTATAAATTAGTTCGCCTTTTCAAAGATTTAATTTAAGTACCGATCAATAAATGAATGTCAAAAAAAGAAAAAATCGGGCCGAAATTATGCAAAATTTCATCAATAAAATAATAATCATTCATTAAATGAAAAAATGTCTTTGCGTCAATTTTGCCAAGATTAGTACTATTTTTTTTTTGTAACCAAAAAGAAACTGATTATTAAAATCCATGGCCAAGTCAATGATGCACATACTCTGTGACCTATATAATAATTGAGCCATGGCTTGAATAATCCTGTATTCAAAACTATACTAATTTGTTTTATCCAAGGCGGTGTAAGCACATGACCAAGCAAATAATCATATACCCTGTATGACCATATATTATCACTTGAACTTTTATTAGTATATACTCATAAATGTCATCTTATAATGATATTATAATGTCGCAATGACATTGTCATCATTTTATGTTATCTGCTTACTAATTTTCCAATAAATATGTGCGACTTATGTGTGACTTCGGTATCATTTAAATTGCAAGTTCTTAGAATTTTTTTTAGAATGCTGATTTTTGAATTAGGATATAAGATTACGTAATCATTATACATCTATACCTTTTTACTTATTTTGCTTTGTGTTACAGTATGTGTACCCGGTAACACGACATTTTACTTGAATATACGCAGCTTTTTAAGTAATAAAACCAAAATACTAGGTAGAGTTAGGTTTGTGAGCATCACGAGCCTTAAATTATAGCAAAATTTTTCAGGAATTTTTTTTTATTAGTACGCAGAAAATAATTACATAGAAGAAATTTTGGTTACAGACGATTTTAAAAAAAATACATGATTTTCACTCTATACCTAATGATGTGATTGTTGGTGTTACCTATTCATTTATTATCATAATGTGTTTAATGTAGATATCCCCCAAAAAATAGTATATAAATGAAGTCATGCAGACTAGGTAAAAAATCTAAGTAACTACTATTGTACTAAATTTGTGAAACCCATGTTATTTCATATAATAGTTTCCACATGATATTTAACCACTCAAATTTATCATTAACAATAATCTAGAATGTAACATGACAAACATGATTACACGAAAAAAAAAATAGCGGCATTGATAGAGTCGATTTAGTCTAAATAATGTTCTTCAAGATTCATTGTAATTACTTTCGTGTCATGTTGCCTCTATCAGGTTTCACTAATTATAAAAAAAAACTTATAGTGGAAGAAGGTCATGCAATTCTAAAAGGATTTTGAATGGAGATTAAATGTAATATTTAAATACAATGATCACGAGAGGTTCAAATTCATTGATCACACTAAGTTATAAATTGAGTGGTGTCTACAGCAATTCATGTCTCTATTCTCTCTTTTCATTTCTTGTTCTCTTGAACTCTCTTGAACTCTCTTGTTCGCTCTTGCCTTCTCTTGTAAAAAGAATAAACTAATTTGTCTTGTAAAAAAAAAATAAACTAATTTGTCTTGTAAAAAAAAAATAAACCAATCCAACATTGTAAATAATGGCAGAAAATATGATTACAAGTGTCGCCTTGCAAATCATGGCATTGGGTTTTCTCAATAATCGTAATGACAATGTACAAGAAATAATTACAGAGTGCCGAAGATACACTCCAGTTAACGGATACCAAATTATGGTTCATTTGGTTATTCCTTTATGTCATAGCCGGAATATATACGACTCTGTAATAATTAGACAAGTTGCTTTATTCATATGGATGCGTGCGACACCCATCGAAAGAACATATTTTAAAGGTATAGCTGAAAGAGTAAATACAGCTTAAGGAGTAAATAGAACAACAGGAAATACAGCAAGTGCAAATTTATCCAGGCAATAATTAGAATTATGCATACAGTATATTATATACATATATTATATATAATATCTAATAGACTAATATATATATAGTTGACTATAGATATAACGGATTTTAGGGTCTGTTTAGGATTTATATTCATACCTTTGTCATTAATCATTATAGTTTATTATATTTATCAAATATTTTGATTAATTTTTTTTTTTTTTGCTGTTAGATTGCTTATTTGTTGTACACTTATCCTTTATATCCATGGTCGACTGTAATAGGATTTTTAATGTAATACTGTTGTTTAACATTACATTGCACTTTTTAGTAATGTTATTAAATCAACATGGGAGTTGCAAACTTACATTAAACTTCAAAATTTAATGTAGCTTACAATCAATTTTCAAAAAGTAATATAATATGGTATGAAAAATTAAAATAAGAATTTAAAAAATCAAATAATTATAAGGAAATAAGTAGGACAATTATGGGAAGAAATTAAATAAGAAATTATCTAAATAAATCATATAGTTTAATTATTAGAATGTAAGTAATCATTTTGTAATTTCTTAAGCTTGTATTTTAACTTTATGCGCATTAAGTTTATGCAACATCTTTTTTTATATATAATTAAGTTTGTGGTGGGATTATTTCAACTGTTATATTAAGAGTTAATTAAACATAAAAATTTCGAGAAGCGTGAATGAAGTAAAACATGCACTTAGATAAATTATTAATTATGTTTAAAGTAATTTAAAAATGCATTTATTTTTTTATGATGAATAAAACATAAATGGTTCACGTATTTCATGTAAATTTCAAACAAAAATTAAAACCTTAAGCTAAGTAATACAATTATTTACATTATTCATTATTAGATAGAAATGAATATCAACATACAATAGACCATTAAAATCGACTTATTATGCATAGTTTGAGTTTGATAATTCCAGGTTATATATAACTGATTAATTAACTCGACTTTTTTTAATGCTAAACAGTATTGTATATTGAAAGAAGGTTTGATATTCGATTAATGACGAAATACGTTACACAGTTTTATTAAATATAGCATGACACAGTGTTACCAGTGTTAAGAGAGACTCTCTTCAAATATTTTCAAGTATTTAATGCTTTTTACGTTTTATTAGTAGTTCATTTTCTGCTGCCTTCTTATAAAATTCAAATGCCTTCTCCTCATCAATTTCTGTTCCATTTCCTGTGTTATGACATTCAGCGAGTTGTACACATGCGTTGATATAACCACTTTTTGCAGCTTGTTGATATAATTCAAAAGCTTTTCTTTTATCAATTGTAGTTCCATGACCATATTGATAACTTATCGCGAGGTTATATTGCCCTACATCCAATCCTTTTTCTGCAGCCTTTTGATAATATTCAAATGCTTTTTGGAGATCAACTTCAGTTCCTTTGCCCAACTCATAGCACAGTCCAAGACTATTATATGCATACATATATCCCCGCTCTGCTGATTGCTGATATAGTTCAAATGCCTTCCCTTCATCTTTTTCGACACCTCTTCCATTTTCATAGCAATATGCACAATTGTAATATCCAGACATAAGCCCTTTATCAGCAGCTTTTTTATAATACTCAAATGATTTGTTATAATCAACATCAGTTCCTACGCCATTTCCATAACAAAAACCAAGACAACTATATGCTATAATATATCCACCTTCCGCGGATTTTTGGTCGAATTCAAAAGTTTTTTGATTATCTTTATTAATCCATTTTCCGCAAAAATAACAATCAGCAAGAATACTTTGAATTATAGGATTGATTTGATTGTCAAGACACCAATTAATAACATCTTCAGGATTTTGATCATTTTTAATAAAAAATTGTTCCATTTGTTTTAGAAATGAAATAGCATTTGTTCCTTTCATCCTTTCTTCTTTGTGCAGATTACATAACTGATTAACTATTGCTTTTAAGCCATTATGCTGCGTTTTACTTTTGTATGAAAATATTCCTTCATTACGTATATCATATAATTGCTTGACAGTTCTATTCAAAAAACTTTGTGATTTCTTACTTTCACATGGTGAATCTCTATAAATATTAAAGGAAATAGTCTTGATGACGTCAAACAGAACTATAATATTAATGTGTTACTTGTTATTTTTACAATATAACAGTATCTACTTACGTCCTTCTAGTTTGTTTTCTAAAAATCTTTTCAATCATTCCTTAACTTAAGAGAATGGTTTTTCTTGATCGTTAAAAGCTAACGACCATTTATCCCTTACATTATTAATGGACGCTCAAAATTGTTCTTTCGATAATATGTACAACATGTAAACATCAAATGTGTAATTAGAACATTCTAAAATTCTATATTTACAGATCAACTGATCTTTATTTGTATTTGTGCTCAATAATCATATGATATGATATCAAAAATGAACTTACGTTTACATGTCAAGAAACAGTTAAGCACATATGTAAGCACATACGTACATACATACACTAATAACTTAAAATATGCACAATTAATCATTATACTGCTTTATCCTTCATTTAATGGATACAAAGAAACAAAAGGATGGCTAATCAGCCTGATTACATTTACAAGATAAAAGATAAAATTAGTGTAATTTAGTTATTGACTTTTCTATTTTGAGTATTTGATTTTAGAACTTTCATTTTAAAATTTTTATTTTAGAATTTTCATTTAAAACTATAAACATTTAAAGAATAAAAAATTCGGAAAAAAATGAATGTTGCAGAATGAAAACCTGTAACTGATCATAGTAAATCTTAAACAGACTTAAAAGTTTTCACTCTGTAACAATCAAATAAACAAATATTCCTGGTCTATAATTAGTGATGTTATCGTCGTTACCCAAATTATTTGGGACATCCAAACTATGTGATGAATAGCATCGCATGATTTCAGCAATAATAAGAAGGTAAATACCTCATACGATATTATTCAAATAGTTTGGGACCTATAACGTTTTTATACTTTATTTACAAAAATAATATCGTAAGTTATCTGTGTTTTAATTAAATATATCATTTATCCAAATACTTTCTTGTAATTCATATTAGATAAGTTCTTTTTACAACCTTATTATATATCAGATATCAGTTAGTATTGCGTATGCACGTACGTAAAATTAACATTCATAATGTTTTGGCAAATAAAAATAATTCATCTGGTTAAGATGTTTTTATAGTAAAATATTTAGACTTTAAAAAGTAAAAATTGTGAAGAACTACCATGAGAATCCAACATTAGATCAAATTCCACTAATGATTAGTAACCAAGTTGGACCAATATCATTATAGTCTCTCAAATGGACTAATGCGTTGACGGATCGAAATAAAGGTAGAACTGGTATGTAGGGATCACACACAATGTATTACAACCTATGCTCCCAAATCAATAGTAACGAGAAGGCATCAAAGATGTGTGAATTAATAAGCAACAGGAAGGCACCTTCACACATAATAGTTTTAAACAACCAAGATTTCTCAATCTAATCCTTTCCGTCACCATAACAATCTTTTGATTCTGCTATCTTCCTATTTAACAGGTGACTTGCTTCGAGCATGCTACCCTGACATGCCACTCATATATGATCCGAAATAATCCGAATATCCTGCAGCAAAGTTCCGAAATATTCCGGAAGGTATATTTTTTATAGTAGGTAAGAACTGACAAATCCAAGTTGAATATATTTATCACATGGTTTAATGGCAAGATAACTATCATTAGGAACATATAACAATCGAATAAATAAATTTGTTCACAACGTTATAGTGTAAAAAATTATACCGTATAGCTAAGTTTGGAAAGAGGACATAAAATAATTACTGAAATCTAATAAATTTGGGTTTATGTGATTTTCACGGCATCATTTTCCTGACAAAATATTTACCTGAAAATTTTATTTCACCGACATTGCTTTCTTCCCGGCACTTATTTTGCTGTAGAACGAAGAACCATTGGCATCGAACACGTAATTCTACCATTTCTCAACTCACCCATTACTCTGCTCACAGCAGGTTTGCTTTGGCAGATGGGAACTACCGGATGATCAATTCTACGGGGACTTACAGTACAATAATTATCGCAAATGTCTTTTCCGTTCTGGCCAATCTCGGCAAAATTACTCATAACTACACTAACGGTTATCCTTTAACAATTTCAATAAAAAAATCCTTCCTACCAGCATAACTCAAACAAATATATAATGCGATGCTTTTCATCCATTCATTCGGATTTCTTCGTGATAACCAGATTAGTATATTGAAAATGCAGCTATGATTCGTCAATAAGATAACTGCACTTCTTGTCCCCTCTTCAAAACAAGAAACAGATGACATGAAGAGAATTACATTTAGTAAATATATAGCTTGTCGCACTACTAAGATGGCAAATTATTCAATAATATACATAGCTCCATATAATTTATGTGAGTAGTTGCGCAGTGTACACAGGTCAAATGTATGAATAAACTACAGTTTGTTGAGTATAAGTCTAGTATCTAGAGATGTGATCCGTAAATTACAATACATATAAATAAGCTGTAGTTTATTTTAAAACTACAGCTTTACAATAAACTAATAGTTTACGGATCACATCTCTACTAGTATCACCTCCTTAAAAAATTTCGTGATTATGCGATTTTATTAAAAAATTTGTTCGCAATTTATTTTATAATACAGTAATAAAACAGGAGGAACCGTCGATGCGGTGGCGGTTATTTCGTCGACAACCATTTCACCGACAGACATTTGACCGACATCACGTAGGGTTAGGATTAGCATTTTATTATTTACTGGTGTATATTTTTAGTAAATTGTCGCTTGGTGTGATGTCGGTTAAATGAGCTGTCGGCGAAATGATTGTCGGTGAAATAATACGGACCCCGTCGATGTTACACGACTAATTCTTCACCCGATGTGCAACATATAAAAAAATAATTTTAACACCATTTTATTATAAAAAAAATGATATTGGATTATAATCACAACATGTACTAGCGGAATGATCTGGTATTGTAAAATTAATTTTTTTATATGTTGCACGGTTCCTCCAGTTCAGTAATAATCAATTAATTAATTACCTCATACTTACTAAGACTAATCACCCTAACCATACTTCCATCAAAGATTGAATTAATTTCTATCAATCAAACATGTGATCATAACCGGTTTGTCATATGTTTGATCGGATGTCACAGAAGTTTGTCTGATTGGCTAATAAATTCAATTTAATTTTACAGTTTAGAGTAGAGATGGGTTTCATGTGCATGTTATTATATAATATGTGCATTTTTCCCATCACTAGTTTAGAGTACTTTTTAAAAAAACGAAAACTAATCATAAAGAAATAAAATAAAAGCTGTAGAGAAGGTTTCATTTGAGTTGTAGGACTTCATAACCAAAAATAAAAAAGTTAGTGTAGTTATAACTTCTCAAAACTTGATAAAATCAACTGATTATTTCGTTTTTTTAACAAAGTAATCTAAACTGTATAAATAATGTAACGTTAACTTGAATTTATTAGTCAATCAGACGAACTTGCTCATGACATTTAATGTCTTATTTTAAATGTTTAAAATAACAAAAATTCTTAATACACAACACAAATAAAAATCTTAAAAATACCAAGATATGATCAGGTGTCTGATTTTGAATAAAATTAATTATATATTTGTTTCGAAATAAGCGATCTATAAATTCTATTTTCATTTCGCATAACATGGAATTAGAAAATTTTGTTCGGTCGGTCGGATTTATTTATTTTTTTTAAATTTATTGTAAATTAATAGACTCATGTTCATATATAAGACCATACAAAGTTAAGTTTTCGTTTTGCATAGCATCGAATCAGAAAATTAAGTCAGCCCCGGATTTTGTTTCCATCGGTCCTATCGGATAATTCTGGGATATCAAGGTCTCTATCAGGTAACACCAGATAAAATTGATAGGAAAATCAAATAGCAAAAATCGAATAATTGACACAAGTGGGACTTTTTTTTAAAAAAAAAACCTTTTTTGAAAAATTGAAAATATAGATCGGCGGATTATGCAAAATGAGAAATTAACTTTGTGTGGCCTAATAATAAACATAAAAAAAAATTTATTATTTCATCATCCGATTTTGAAATTATAAAACAGAAATAGAAATAGAAGTTTTCAGACAAAAGACTTATCACTATTACTATACTAGTTTTATTATTTGGCCAGAAGCATTTAGGTTTACTACGATAGTCTGTTACAGCTTATCCAATCAGATACGTTCAATTCGACAGTAAATATTCCTGTAAAACCGGTTATCATGTCATACGATAGTATAACCAATCAAAAGAGCGTATTTGTACACCCCTCAAATACGCAATCATATAATAAGTAGCTGCGCAACGTTGTCACGCGAAACCAGGAACGGGAGAAATCTACGCAGACATCATTTCAGTCACGGGAAACCATATTTTCATTGCAATCCATTCCTGGTAAAAGAAAATGACTCTTTATAAAAGAAGTCGATAGTACTTGCAATCTGAATAT